AACAACAGTCGGAGCCCGTAAAAAGATAAACTCTCTCTCTCTCTCTCTTTCTTTGGCCAGGGGGTGGGCTGACCCCCCTCTTTCTCGGGAGAGGCATTCTGTGAGAAGCTTCGATCGTTAGACTGAGCCCAGGTGCCGAGGAAAGGCCTCAGGCGCTGCCAGAAAGTTTCTCCTCCACTGCGCCGGCCCTTGGCGCCCACCTTGGCGCCCATCGTGGCCGACTTTCGGAGCCCTTTCACGGCCATGGCGGTGGTCATGACGGAGAGCAGGCAGACAATGGTCAGATAGCTCCGGAAGGGCCCGCAGTTTGCGGGCCTTGCATCCCAGAGAAAGTAGGCACAAGCCATGACAAGCCACTCGCAGCAGCCGAAAATGGAATTGATCCGCTGGATCTGGATCCTCTGGCGATCTTCCTCTGTCTGCTCGATGATCACGAGGCCGTTGACAGCGCTTGCCACGGCTGCAAAACCATCTGAGGAGCTGATGGCCAGGGCGTAGTGGAGCCAAACGGGCAAAGAGAGATCCTGAAACGCGAACCAGGAGGCCACCGCGTAGCCGATGTGGGCCCAAAGGGCGAGCTGAAGCCGAGAGCCGAAGCCTCGCTGCACCCACTCGTCCACCAACAAACCCGCAAAGATGTCGTTCAAAGGGTTCCAGACCGAAAAGAAGCTGTGCACTGCTGCGACCTCCAGGGCAGTGAGGCCTCGCTGCATGAAGAAATCCATATGAAAAGTACCGAACATCATGGAATGCACGCAGCCCAGCGTAGTGAGCAGGTTGAACCAAACCCCTTGAAAGAGCCACTCGTCGTCGATAAACACCTGTGTGAAGGCATGCAATACACTTTGGCGGGAGGCAAGGGAAGGTCTGCCCATGTCTGGTCCGCGATGCATGCATTAGGCGCAATACACGCGCATTTCAACGCAGCGCCAGCTTATCACCGAACGTAAGACAACAGGATCAAACTGAACTGGCGTCTATGGAAAACTTCTTCCGGCTAGGCAAACGATGCTAGAAATCATTGGTATAGACTGCCAGTGCCCATACTGGTGCCGGTGCGGGTACTGATGCTATTGCTATTACTGTCGCGACCCCGATCACTTTCACAATGACGATGGCTTGCGCTACTGCGGTTACGACAACAATTGCGATTACGATGGCTCTCACTAGTGTTTGCTTACTTTACTGTTGCGATTATGGGCACGGCGCTCGTCTCTCTTCTGGCACCACTCCTCTTCCACTTGTTAAAGATGAACTCAAGAAGTAGTGTCCGGAGTTAGCAGGCCCATCCTTGAGCCAGACAGCGCTGCCAGCTGCTATCGATCAACCAGGATATTTGTTGCACTTGCAGAAGGCCCCTGACACCCCACAACCGGCCCCCGAAGGGTCTTGCAACATGCTGAAGGCTGGAGAAGGAACGACAACAACAACTACCACCACATCCACACACACACACACACTCGCTAACATGGCACGACGACAAGCACCACCGCCGCAGCCGCTGCCACCACCGTCACTAGTCACCACAGCAGAAGCAAGAACAAGGATTATCATCAATTATTTGTTGCCGTCCTTCGTGATTCGGTTGTTGATGCTTCTACAAAAACGATGATGGCTGTAACTGGTCTTACGAATATCACTTTCATTCACACCACATCAACAGGGGCACCAGCAGCAACAGCAAAAGTCTCAGCTATTCAGCGAATGCAAAAACTAAGCACAAGACCGAGAACCATTAAGATGCTCCCAACGATTTCGGCATTGTCAACGCCATGTTGATGATTACAACATCATCATGAAGGGACTCGGATGGCAAGGTCGCAGTGAAGGGAACGGCCATGTTGCACTTCAAGGTGCTTTCATCGAGCATCTTGGGGCTAGTATGTTAACTTCGAAACACTTGCTCAGACCTGTTGGTCGGCCCAACTGACCCTGGGAGCATCGCCGCCCTTCTGTGCAAGCTGAGATTGTCACCCACAGAAGTGTGGCCGGTAGTGGGATCAGCGCCACCCCGATGGACATCAGGGTAACTACGAGCACCACACCTGCATGCAGGATACTCTCAGCCTGTCCAGGGAGCTTCTGTGTTGTGTAACAATCAAACTGCCCCACCTCCGAGCTTCTGGAAGATGGTCAGGGTGCAGAAGACCAAGAAGATGGAGCAGCCCGCCGTTGTGGCGGCACTCCTGCGACCGTCTCAGTCTCTCTCTTCCCCCTGTTCTGCATGAAGCACACGCATCTTCCTGGGACGCATCTACAAACAGGCAAAAACCAGGTGCAAATTCTGGGAATACTCATGATGCAAGGGCACACAAGCACAAAAACTACCCAACAAACCAAGCAAACAAGCAAACAACGAGCTAGCCTGCGATTACACACATCTGCACGTCTGTATTTATGCATGCATGCATCGCTGTCATATAACTCTCTGTATACTGACTTAGGCCGTCGACAGAGAGAGAGAGAGAGGCGCATGCAAGAAGATACAGCTCAAGCATTCCACCTAGCCCCACTGCCGGTCAGACACAAGCATACTTACAAACCGGTGAATCTTAGCCCATCGGTTAAAGCTCATCAGACACTTGATCTACCAAGCAAGAGCCTTGTCATCGGCATTACGCCGCCGGCCCACTGTAAACCTGTGGCCTTTGACCCTTCCCTTTCCCGAAGCAGACCAGAGCTGAGAGCAGCACCCCAGCGCGGCCCGGCCAATGGAGCCGAGGGCGTAGACCGTGCGCACGAAGCGCGTAACGTCCGCATCCCTCAGGGGCCGTGCGGCGTGATGGGATCGTCTGCGATGGTTGCACCAGCTGATCTGCTACATCTCAGCGCATCGGGCCTTCAACTTCGAGCCTTCAACTTCGAACGGATGTTGAAACCAAACATTTCTAAAAGCACGTGGAATGCAATTTGGTAAGTTCTCTCTCTTGATGGCAAGATGGTGACGGAGTGGACCTGCGAGTAACAATGCTGCTTAGAACAAAAAAATGTCAACTTTGCTCGCTTCAAGAGCTATCGCAGGTGGTTGAGCTCCTGGCGTCACATCAATAAGCGCATCCTGTGCATCAGCGCTGCCATACCTGCTGACATGAGTCGCCGTGAAGGCTTGGGGCTCAACGGTCCCTGAGGATGCCTGGCGAATGTTCAGATACAGTACCCAAGTGCGCAAACCTGTTGAACTAGAGCCTGCCTTCGACTAAGTTCACACCAGTTTTTTTGCCGCCGGTTCCTTGCACTGCATGCGGCGAACACTGGCCTAGAACGTGCGACATCTGGGCTGCTTGGTTGCAAGAATGCCGTCGAAGAAAAAGGGCAGACTGGATCTGTTCGCAGCAACCGCAAGCCTGTGAGCGATGTGCAAGGAGTATGTCACCGCCTCAACACATGTATGAGAGAACAGCTTCACAAGATGTGGGCTAGAGAAACTCCTCGTAACATCCACAGTTGTTCAAGAGCAGGACTTATGAGCTTCAAAACCAGGGTCCAGGCATAGCCAATGAAGACGATGAGTGCGATCACTTCGATGGCTCCAATCCTGCTTGCTGCAGGGTAAACTTCTGAACCACCTTGTGCAAGGACACGGATGAGCGTTGTGGCACCGCTGGCGCGGGCTCTCGCGTGGACTCAAGAAGTAGAGAATCCAATGACGGGGCTAGCCGAAACCCCCTGCTTTGTAAGAGAGCGAATGTTTGCACGTCCGAGGACCAGGCGGCCAGCCCATGACGACCACGATGAACCAGAAAAGAATGCAGACCACCTCTTGTGGGGACGAGAGGTTGCACAAGCTGAGGAGCCCAGCATCACATACTGTAGCTGAGCCGAAATTCCAGGAGCCTCCGAAGATGGAGCTCTTCAGGCCTTGAAAGGCTTCTTTCTGAGGGCCGAGCCAACAGGGTTGATGCCACCACTAGCATCGACAGCTTCCAGTCGCGGGTGAAGACCTGACATGGGGCTCAAGTGTTTGGATTTCGCGCTGCATCGAGAATTTGCACTCCAACTGATAGCCTGCTGCTTGCAGCAACAGAATCTTGCAGCATAAGGTCAACTAACCGTGAACTCCCGCATTGTTTTGGCAGTCCTGTTGATACGCCCTATTGCTTCTCTCCTCCAAAATCTGCTTCTCCAGCTCGCAATATGAGAAGCTGGACAGACTAAGCCGCCAGGTGCGCCAGCATACCCAGCAGTGCCAGGCCAACCACGATCACCTGGGCAATTGATTCGTAATCGTGCTGCCTGACAAAGGGCTTGGGGACAAACTCCCTACCTGTACCGGTACGATCGTGCTAGCTAGTTGGCGCGCTTTTCCTTTCTGCCCTCACATCTCTCCCTCTCGCGCGGAACAGAGCAGACCACTACTTTTGCAGTCATGTGACCTAATCTCCATAGGTCAGAGAGATGCCTTCCACCGCACTGGCAGGTCACTTCGTGCGCTCTAAGTCTTCCTTGACGGGTGCATTCTAATGCCGCGGCGTTCAGAACTTGCTGACAAGTCGCAATGGTCAGAATCGTGCTGGAAATAAGTGCCGACTGCGCCTCATGCTGCGAAGCAGGACAAGACGTTAGAAATGCAAATCCCACTGCAGAAATCTGAAACTCTGATCGCAAACACTGCCACCGGCAACCGCCAAGGGTACATAACTAATTGAATGATACTTTTAAACTGTGGCCTCGAGTACTCTCCCCCGCTCCACCCGCTCCCTCAAGATGGCTGGAGAGGCCTCTGCTCGCACCCAGAGGCTGGAGGTATGCCAGGCCTTCAGCTTGAGGGCGGTTGCATGCGGCGGCCAACTCGTTATCAGCCATAACGACCGTGCACGTTAGCAAAATTTAGATGATCGGCTGGCTGAAACGGTGGAAATGCAGGCTCTAGCTCCAGGGTGCGGGCTCCCTTGGTGTAGATCGAGGCATCTAAATTGAACTCCTCGAGGTACCTTGCAAAAGGTACTCGGTACTGTCGAAACAACCTTCAACAGTCGCTGTGGCGAAATGCTATGCTAGATTTCGTGGCATACAGCATGAGCTGCTGATACAACTAGGAAAACGCCAAGTCGCTTGTCCCACAGCTGCTTGTACTCAATCGCAGACCTGAGATCTCACGGCTCATGCCCACCTGCCACACACATGATGAGTCTGGTGCCGGGTGCATCTGTTCTGAGGGCCAGAACAAAGATGCACATACCTAACTCAGCATGCAGGATTGTTGTAAAGCTTGATAAGACCCCTGCGTGGTGTCAGCATAGCGCTGGAAGTCCACGCTCATCAGCATGTACGATGCTTTAACCTGCCGGTTTGCGCCAGATGCCGATAAAGACTTGTCAAGGTTCACGGCCCACTCTGTACATTCAGTTCTGTCGGCAAAGAACCTACCGATTCTGCGGCATTATACAGTGAACCGGAGCTGCCTTGCCGTCGCGAATCCACATGTAATCCTGGCCACGAAGAAGTTGGCGTGGCTGGGCACTTGCAGTTTCGAGAGCAACACCACTCCCTGTCCCAGTCCTTCGTGCTGTGCATGCCCGTGAGCCAGGACTGCAGCAGGCAGCATCATGACTGTAGCAGATCGACAGCCAACTGCTAGTTGAAGTCTGGAAATCGAAACCGTCAGATGTGCGATGTGCGGCCTCAGCAAAGGGAATGATCTGCCTCGGACGGGTGCAGTGGCAGGATCTGCTCTTCTTGCACTTCAAGTGCCATGCACCTTCGACGATCGCTTGGGTGCAGGCTGCTCAAACTGCGACGGGATGATGGGGAATCGATCTCCACCTCTGCAGCTCTTGTGGAAAGACGGGCTGTGAAACACAATTGACTCAACGTATGCCGCTGGAGAGGTCATGCAGCTTCCTGATGTGGAATCACTTTGTGCGGCGTTCCAGAAAAATCAGCTGCTAAAATTATTGGTCCTCTGCCTCGAGCCACTACTAGTCGTACGGCCACTGCTGCTACTACTCCTGGGATTAATGCCTGCACCATATGACCTGAAAACAGCTCGGACGTGAGGGAAGCAAGGAAAAGAGTGCAGATTCGTAGTTCTCTTCTTCGTATATGAATATGTCCTACTCCACTTACAAGGTGAGCAGAAACATCTTGGAGATGCCCATGAAAGAAGAAACCATAGTCAAAACAACAAAAGACAAAAAGTATCTGAGAGCCTCAAAAACTTCAAGTAGAACCCTACCCCAGGCATATGCTAAGCACGCAGCGATTCAGCAGGTAGGCCCTGAAGTCCTCCATCCAGCACCTTGGCTCCGCTCCGGCCAGGTCGGCTTGAAACTGTTGCCTTGTCTCTTTGTGACCTGCGTGCAATGAAACTACGCACTGTCGTACGAAGTAGTGCTCAACCGCTCTTCCGGGCGGCCCAGCCTGCGCTCCACAACACGGAGTTCCCGCGGCATGCTGGTGCAAAAACTGTACCTGCAATAGAGCTTCCCGTGCAAGCAAGTATCTTAACTACTCGGCCCTCGTCTTCAAAGGATACTAGCGAGTTGCAGAGACGAAGGTGGCAACTTCATGCGTTCGGTCAACTACCCTGTTTCAGGCGTCCAGAACTGATGCCAAGGATCTTTCTTGGTCTCAGGAAATCTATACATGACTGTCGGCAAGGTCCCACCCCGTCCATCACATGCTCCGCCAGGCTACAAGGAAATCGTAAAGAACGATGAGTTGAACTAATCCGCCCAGTCGTCCCCCTGTCGAAAGTAGGGCTAGTAGGGGGCACATGTTGCGCTGCGCCCATGGCTGGCTCACCTTCCGACAACCGAGCAGCACATGCACTCTGCGGTACATTGCAGGCCGTGACCTCTGCAAGAAGACAACTTATCCCCAAACCTGATCAATGAGACATGGATTTCCACTTACAGGAATGCAAAGTATGACAAACAAACCAACCGCCAAACAAACAAACATTTTTTGCACCGACAAACAAACAAGCAAGCAAACAAACGAACAAGCAAGCAAGCAAACAAGTGGACGAGCTAAGAAGAAAGAAACTGATGAGCCCCACAACCAACTAGTGAAAGCTTCCAACCAACTGAGTAAAAGCTTGAGAACAAGAAAGCGGGGCAGCAACAATAAGGCAGCAAAGTTCGCAAGTTTGTCACCCCAATATGTATCCAGCTCCGTAAAGAAAGGATAAGCGGATACATGTGGCTATACACATGCAGCTTCGTCTCCAGAATTTTTTCGATCCAGTCTGCTCAACATGTGTGCTGATGGTGCCAATATGACCCTGCAGGCAAGCACAATAGGCTGTGCACCGAGCAGGTATCCCCGACTGAACTTGAGTGGTCGTGAGTTGTACCAGCACCATGTACAGCCAATTCTTAACTTTTAAGCCTTGGGCAAACATCCGTCCTAACCATTACTCACTTTTGTTTTACGCTCATTGACTGCAGCCGCGCAGTATGTTCACGCGCTGACAACTCACAGAAACGATTGCGCGAAAGGTCCGACTGCCTGGTGTAACTCTGCGAATTGCCAGCCGTTCTCAAGATCGACCTGCACAGATTGGCCACTTAGACCTCTCTCAGTGCCAGTCTCAGCTAAATTAGACAGCTGCATCTGCATCACAAACAGCTGCAAAGAAGGCTTTTGGAGAAGAAGTTCGGATGCAGGATGCAAGGCTTCGCTGTCTCAAATCTTATGATTGCCGGCACACTGCTCCGGCAAAGCCTCCCCCAAGAGTTTGGCCGACGTGGTGACCTGACAGCTTTCTGGATCACACTGAGCCCTGACTTGAATCCTGATCCCTATACTCTCAACCCTGAACTACACCCTCAAGCCCTTATGACTCCCACAGATCCACTCCATGAATCTACGCAGATGTCCGGATCCGTCTGGTACTTAAACTGTCTCCTGCACCCTCAATCTATTGTACAGGGCAGAACGAGATGCGCCTCAATCCCGAAGATAATATCGATGGCGGCTCGGTTTGCAGGCCTCAGCATGATGCTTTTTCGTGGGGATCGCGAGCGCTAGGTGGTTGAAGAATGGGACATCGGGGTGTTTCACGGAGGATTACGTATACATGAAGCTCAGCACTGAAACATTCTCATAAGCATGACCACTTCCTCTGAGCAGGGGCTTGGGTCTGAACGTTGCGAGGAGCAGGGCGACTTGAGTTTGAGACTTCGCACGTGTTGGCTTTCAGGTCATTTCGGAACTCTGTGCAGCAAGCTTCTGGGTTGCAGACGCGACAGTCCATTCCGATGGACCTAGGCCGACTCTATGGAATCATCATGTGTCAAACCATACGTATCACTGTGACTTGCATAGGTAGCTGCGCATCAATGCACATATGTGAGTATAACGTGTATTCTGTTTCCGTGTTTATACCATCTGAGAACATCTGTTTCAATGTCTACCTGTAATGTTCATATCTACACATGCAAGTCCAGCAGCGAATCGCGCAGCTTGCATTCCCCAAAGTCGGTCCGTGTTGTTTCTTCCTTTCGCGTTCCAATCCCGGCAACTTGTTCTCCGTTTCGGCTCCGGATATTTTCTAATCGGCCTTTTCGTTTCACAGCCTCCGGGCTCATCCCTCAACCTTCACCTACAAGCCTGCCGACCCTGAATTCGAAACTCGAAGCTCCAACGCGAAACTGCACTTTGCAAGTTTCCCTACTCAAACCCCAGCCGCCCGCATGCCTGTATGCATATACATTACTTAGCATGTTTTCGACGATGTTTGCCAATGAACGTAAGCACGCGTGCAAGCGTGTGTAGGTGCATGTGCATGCGCATGCACGTTTGTATGCGCCTGTGTGTGTGTGTGTATGCATGCATATGGGCAAACCATTGCTTCTGCAACTGTGTATGTATGCATGCATGCATTTACGCAGCTATGTATGCATGTAGGTATGTATGTATGGATGTATGTATGTATGTATGTGTGTATGTACATATATATATATATGTAAGTATGTATACACATATAGATACATACATCTCTATATATATATATGTACTGACACATATACACAAAACTTTACATGTACAAACAAACATGTATGACTGTATGTAGGAATGTAGGAGAATATGTATGTATGTATGTATGCATGCATGTATGTATGTATGACCGCGTGTGCATATGTGTGTGCACACACATATCTATAGGAAGAAAACAAGCAAACAAACACATAAACATGGTCTGAAGCGATGAAGATCATGTTGCGAGCAAGGTATACGTACATACACGTGTTTATAAATATATGTATATATATACATACATACACATACATATACATATACATACACACACATACATACATGTACATATATATCTACAGATACTTACACACATACGTACATACATAATACATACATACTGACATACATACATACATACATACATACATACATACATGCACATACATCATTACATAGATACATGTGCATGCATACATACATACATCCAACATGTATACAGACACACAGACACGTGTGCATGCAT